TCTGTGTTCTATTATCTTTAACATTCAAAACAGTCCAACTGAGATATATAGAGTAAGGATTTATTATCCATCATTAATTAAATTTAAAAAATAACTGGTAGAATCTTATCCAGCACAAAAAATTAAAAAGCAAAATGTTTTAGGCAATAAAAAAGAAAATACAAAATCATTCTCCTTAATGAAGGAATTGGGTCACATACTTATTGCAGCTAATTTTGAAGTGGGCTAATGTTTCCCAAATTCAAATAGTAAAAATAAAAAAAAAAAAGCAGTTAACTTTGCTGCATGTTTAGTAGGTGACAGTCGTAACTACATTATCTCACATCATTTTCTTTTTTTTTTCAAATTTTTTATTGTGATTAAGTGGTTACGTAATTTCCCAAATTTCACAGTATTGTGGGATAGTGATGCTCAGTTAAAGTTGCAAACACATTCTAACTTTCCTGGAGCAAATTGTCTATCACGGTCTATAACATTTATGACTTCTATGAGCTTTGCGGTACAGTTATTTCTTCCACATTGGGTGGTATGTACATTTCTTTTGTTTTGCGTAGCATCATTTTCACAATAATCCTGTCAAATGGAAAACAAGGCACCAACCTAATCATGAGGAAACAGAAGGATGTTAGGAATCAGTGCCAAAACTCTTCTTCGTTGCCTCCCTCCTCACTTTTATTTCTGAACTCTCAGGAACCTTTTAGTTCCAGAACTATTTTCTTAACAACTTTGGTAGGCTCAGATAACAATAATACTTATTTTTTCTTTCTTTAATATTTAAAATTTCAAGTCAACTCCTATAGGGAAACACTATACACTAACAATAAATAATCATGTACAATTGGTCTTCTGTATCTGTGAGTTTCAGCCATGTGTGGGAAAACACTACATCTACAGCCAGATACCTGGATTCCTAATACTTGAAAGGCTGAGGTAGGGGAATTATGAGTTCAAGGCAAGTCTGGGTTATATAATGTGTTTGAGAGCAGCCTGGGCTGCATAGTAAGTCTATCTCAAAATTTCTTTTAAAAATCTATCTAGCAGCTAGCAATGTGGCTTAGTGGTAGAGTGTTGGCCTAGCATGCATGAAGCCCTGGGTTCAATTCTTCAGTACCGTATGAACAGAAAAAGCCAGAAGTAGCACTGTGGCTCAAGTGGTAGAGTGCTAATCTTGAGCAAAAGAAGCTCAGGGACAGTGTCCAGGCCCTGAGTTCAAGCCCCAGGACTGGTAAAAAAAAATAAAATAAAATAAAAATAATCTAGTTATCTCTATACTGAACATTCATACACTTTTTGTCTTCAAATAAAAAGTACTGACACAGCATGTACATTGTCATTAGATCTGATAAATAACCTAGGAATGATCTAAAATACACAGGAGGAGGTATGTGCTATTTTAGATTAAGGATGTGGGTATCCACAGATTTTGTTATCCATTAGAGTCCGGGAACCAATCTCCTTTGGATACCAAGGAATAGCCAGCCATAATCCTAGTTTGACAATATAGGAAAAAGTATAAAGTCACATAGGAATAGCTGTAGTTAATATAACTCTGTGAACTAAAGAATTCTAAAAATTGAGTACTAGTGTATTATCTTGAAATTGTTAAGACACCGTAGCCTACGTGACTACCTTTGAGTTTACCATAAATCTGAAATAGGTTAAATGAAGAAAATTTTTTCAAGATTAAAACTTGAAGAAAGTTTATTCTACTACTTTGGTTCTGTAAAAACTAGGCATATTTCCTTTCTTCTTCTTCCTTTTTATGTACACAGGCAAGCACTCCACTAATGGCCTACATAACCAGTCCAAAAACTTAGGCATATTATTCTATTCGATCCTAGTCTGCATTCATCACAAAAATTTAAATGCTATAAAGGAAAAAGGAGAATAAATGTAAAACTGTAAAATAAAACTCATTGATCACTTTACAGAATGCAAGACCTTAAAATGAACAATTCTTGAAAGTATTTAAAGGTACTCATTTTAATAAATGGGGAAATTGAGGCCCAGAGAAACTTGTATCAGATTTCAAAGACAGTAAAGATGCCAGTGGATCACACTTATAATCCAAATTAGACAGCTGAGATCCAGAAGTCTGAGGTGTAAAGCCAGTCCTGGCGGAAAAAGTCTACAAGATTTCATCTCCAAAATAACAAGCAAAAAAGCAAGGCTGGAGGTATGACTCAAATGGTAGAGTACCAGCCAAGCAAGTCTATGGCCCTGAATTTAAACCTCAAACTTCTCCCCTCCAAAAACATAGCTACAGTGATAAAACATATGTTAAGTATTTAAGTTCAGTAAGAACTCTTTAAACATTTGAATCTCTCAAGATTTTTTTTTGGTAATTTCACAAAATTTTACTTTAAAATAAATCACTAAATTTGAATAAATCCATTTAGTTTTAAAAGATCTGAAAACTCATAATGGAAATAAACTTTGATGGTAGCACATAGTTTTTTGGCACAAAAGAAGCTATACTACAATAGGTTACAGGCTCATTTAATCTGCAGGGAGCTCTATTACACACTAAGCAAACAATTAAAGTATTACCATAAATGTAGATATAAAAGCTCTCTTTCCCATTTTTGGTTTGCTTCAACAGAGCACAAAAGTTCTTATTCATTATGTAAAGTGGACCTGAGAATTTTAATTAATTTCAGAAGCAGAATCATCATTCCACAGAGCTCAAGTAGAAAAAGATTTCGTATCAAATCGTCCCAAGGTGAACCACATTTAAGTGCCTTGTGATTTCCTCACTAACTCATCTGGTAAAGGAGAATGGTAAGAAGCTCACAGGTCCTTCCAGAGCGAGAGCAGGGAACATAAGGAGGACAAGGTGTGTGACCATTCGCTACAATTGAAGCTTCCTAAAAACTGCTAGGGCTCAAACTATGGGTTTTTATAAATGAAACCAAAAGTTTCTGTCTAAAGCAAGACTTGTTTAAATCATTCCATTCTACTAAATAAAGTAATTTTATGGGATTTGCTTTTGCCTAATATGTATAAAGTTAGAAATGGAACCATTATTAACCAACCTTACACATCTAAAGATGGTTACCCTTTGGGGAAGAACACAAAGGTGTAATATCTCTAAACATTTAAAATACGATTAGTTATTAGAAATAAAATAGCCCTCTTCTATTTTCAGGGATATTCTGAACAAAGCAATTTCCAATTTTGTTTTTCCTTACTACTAATGGAGATGACAATTTTTTTTAATGCTGCTTTAAAAAACAAACAATTTATTGTAGTGAATTCCAGGAAATGGAAACCTGGTTTTGTTGTTAATGGTGATAGTGGTGGTATGGTGTTTGCTTTGTTTTTTTTTTTCTTCCTTTGGGGGAACATGAGGGGTGTAGAAAGGGAGGGAGTAGGGTGAACAAATGCAACCATGCTATTCAGTATACTCTATGTGGAAATGACCTATGTAACTTGGCAGCGATGGGAGAGGGAAACTAGGGGAAAGTAAAGGAAGGGAAGCCTGTCAATTTATTACATACATCACAATACCTTAATAGTAACAATATAATTACTTTTTAAAAATCTTATACATGACGGGCTGGGAAGGTGGCTCAGTGGTAGAGCGCTTGCCTTGCATGCATGAAGCCCTGGGTTCAATTCCTCAGCACCACATAAGCAAAAAGAAAAAAGCCGGAAGTGGTGCTGTGGTTCAAGTGGTGGAGTGCTAGCCTTGAGCTGAAGAGCTGAGGGACAGTGCCCAGGCCCAGAGTTCAGACCCCACGACCAGACCCAAAAAATAAATAAATAAAAATAAAAAACTTATACATGTATGCATAAGCAATTTTTAATCATCAATATTTAAAAAATAATAATATTGCTTTAAAAATGTAATAAGTCACTTTAAATATTCACACACAGAGAGACTAAAGGAGGATATTCGTTTTGTTTGTTTTGTGGTTTTTTGGTCATGGAGCTTGAAGTCTGGGTCTGGGCACTGTTTCTGAGCTCTTCAGCTCAAGGTGAGCACTCTACCACTTGAGCCACAGCACCACTTCCAGTTTTCTGGTGGTTTATTGGAGATAAGAGCCTCATGGTCTTTCCGGCCAGGCTAGCTTTGAACCACGATCCTGAGATCTCAGCCTCCTGAGTAGTGAGGATTACAGGCGTGAGCCACCGGCACCTGGCCAGAGGAGGATATTCTTAGGAGAGGAATACAAAGGCAATATGCCTATGTGCATCTGATCAAATAATATTTATTGAAATGACTCCAGAAAATGGAAACAAGAGGTTTTTTCTCTTTGGTGTGTTGCTGTTTTTATTTTATTTTTGTCTTGATTGTTATTTAGTTATCTTTGGGAGGGTAAGCAGGGGCACAGAAATGGAGGGACAAAGAGTGAACAAATGCAGCAGTGGTACTCACAGATACTATGTTGAAAATGAACAATACAACTTGTGTATGGGGACAGAAGGGAAAAACTGGGAGAGAGAGAGGGAAAAGGTGACCTTGTACAAAAAGAAATGTACTCACCACCTGACTCATATAACTGTAACCCCTCTACATATCACCTTTGCAAAACAATAAAAAGAAAATATGCTAACAAAAATGTAAAAGTCAAAGTTTTCTTTCTAATTAGACATGTTTCCTTTTCTCTTATAAGCTATAAGGCACTATCTCAGTGAATAAGAAATGTACTGTTAAAACCTTATAAATCTCAGCTTCATGATACAAGGAACCTAGCACTAACCTTTAAAAATTAGACAAATGAATGGAAAACATGCTAATTCCAATGGAAAGGAAGTCAAGCCCATGCCTATTTCAACTCTTATTCTTTTACCTTAATAAGGCAAAAGAACAAAGCAAAATCACAAATCTAGGAATCCCATAAAAATATTCTGAGGATGAGGGTAACTCACATAAGTAAAATTGGGAGTTAAGTCTTTCTCAAAAAGTTGTTTTCACAACAATCAGAAGTTTTAGGTTTGCTGTGCACATATTATTTCAGCATTTTGGGTAATTATTTTTATAAGACTGTTTTTACCTGTCTCTGAAGTTCTGCCAGGTTGTAAGGTAAGGCCCCCTCAGCCAATGGAGCTATTCTCTCAATATCTGCCAATGTCAAGCGCCTTAAGGGAATAATATAGAAACAAGTAACTGTTAGACACTGACCGACACTGACCAACTCCTCGCATAGAGAACATCTTTTCTTAAAAAAAAAGTTAACTGTAATTTAAAAGTGTAAGTGTCATTTCATTAGTCATACAAATCATTTTGGTAAGAAAAAATAATCTTCAGACCCTGTCTGCAACAACATTCTAGAGAAATAATGTTGGAATACACAAAATTAATGACTTCAGCGATAGATATTAAAAGCAAAAGAATAATTCTTGCCAGAAGCAAAGGACAGCTACCAACAGGCCACACATGCTCAATATATCTTCCACAGCATATAATGCACAGGTATAAGGTATAAGGTATCCTAGAAAATAGGATAGATACAAAACTAAGGAAGGCACAAGAATAAGAGGAATTTTTAAACTATATTTTAACTGTATTTTTTAACTATCTTTCAAATACTTTGAGTTTTGAACAAAATGAATGCACTATTGTTCCCAAAAATTTACTTAAAAAATATACATTCTGTGAACCAACTAAAAGGTCACCTTAGATTTAATAAAAGTATTTTGAAAGTATTTAGTATTTTATAGAGGTTCAAAACCTGTGTCAAATATGTAAATTATACATGGATATAACAGCCTGGTATTTCATGCTAATCATCAAGTTATAGATATGTAAGATTGCTGAAATATTTAGCATTATATCTAACCCAACCATTCACTAGCATTAAGCAATTAAGCACTCGTTTTTTCAACTTCTATTAGTACTCAGTCCTAGAGTTAAAGACTATTTTTCAGATATTGCTATATTTGATGAAGACAAAATGTAACTGGAAAAAACATCCAATTCAATGTCTTAATGGATCATAAGCTCCCTTTCTACAGGTTTGTTGGGAATCAGTAAGTAAGGGCTTTATTTGCCTGACTTTGCAAATAAAGCACTGTCTGAATGTTGGGTTTTTGTGTCTTTTCTTTTAATTTATAAACTAGAGTCATTTTAAAAGAATCTGAGCTTGTCTGTGACAATCCCTATGAGGATGTCAGAGCATACCTCAAGAAAATAATTTAGAAATTTATAACACCTCCAGAGAGCCCAGATTAAATCAATCTTTTCCTTTCCTTTGTTCTCAGTTCTCTCTTTTCTTTCATTTTTCTTCTTTCTCTCATCTCCCTCTATACCTTAAACCTTATTACTCCTTTCTCTTACCTGTCTAGCTCCAACTCCGTCCTCTTCTTTTCATCCCGTTTGCTCTTTCTTCTCCCCCCTTGTCCTCTCCCTTTCCCTTTCTTCACCTCCCCCCACCCTCTGTCTTCTTTTTCCCACTCCTACACTTCTCATATGTGCCCATTTCTTTCTTAGTATTCATATGTTGACTGAACTACTGCTAAAATTAACTGATGGCACAATACTGTTTCACATTTTAAAAGAATTGGCCTATATTAAACACCATAAAGAATTACTAACAGAATTAAACACAATTGAAGAACTATTGTAAGAGTTACCCTGAAGCATTATATAAGTCTGCAAGCTGGTACAGGATATCAATTTCCAGTGGAGTAACTTGTCCATAGCGTATGGCATTCTGGGCAAATTCCTCTGGAATATAAAGAAAAAAGTATTAAAATCTTGAAAGTCTCTTAGTAGACAGCATATTTCTACCTATACCAACTCAAACATGTTCTGAAATGTAAAGGCATTTTAGTTGTATTTTAGAATCTAAAGCTGAATTTAAATATAACTGCAGTTCTCAAAGCTAGTAAAAAGGTACAATGCGAAGAGATGAAATAGCAAAACAGGTAAATTAACTTCAGCTATCCAATGATTATTCCAGAGTTACAAAAGGGAAGAAGTGGTTGTTCTCCAGTCACCTAATACATCCTGTTACAACTCACTAAAAGTAGTAGTAGGCATACTCATCTTTCTGTGGCAATTCCTTCCTAGCACAAACAAGCTGCTGCCACAATACCAATGACCTGTTTGACAGAATGGACCAAGGTTCTTTTCAAAACTGTCAAAGTCACTTCCATTCCTGACCTCAGCATCCCATTAAATCCACCTGGATTTCTGGAGCCTATATGCACTTTCTAGAACTGGCTTCAGTGTGGTGAACTTCGATCAACCTCAAGCTTAGTTGATGAAAAGTAAAAATGTGGAGATTTGAACAGAGTTTTAAATCTTACCCTTTGTGACTTCAATATCTTTCCTTGTGCCAGCTAAAGTGCTATATATTTTACGAACAAGCTCCATGTTGTTCAATAAGGAGTTAAATGCATTGAAGTAGGAGAAACTAACTTGGTGTGAGATACTTCCTCCAGCAGCCTAAGAAATAACAACACAATAAAATTAAAGATTTTTAAAAGAAACATACTTTGGATACTATATTACACTCAAAAAGGACTCAAAGGAGTTCTCGTCATTAAAATGATTAACAACCAGTACATAAATACAAGGAAGGTATCATACTAAAACACCCAGTGTATTACATGCCCTCAGGGAAGTCTATGTAATTTAGGTTTGAAGGAAGAAAGCAACATCTGGAAGTAGGACTTCATGGTTCATCTACTTATAAGGTCAGAAACAACAAATATAATTATTATAGATCAAAAACTGATATTTAAACAGGATTTTCAAGACCCTCAACTATGGAACTCCTGCTAGTCCTAGATAAATGAAATATCAATGTACAAGGTAAGGGACATTCTTTCTTGCCCACACACATTGACAAAAACTAAGTTGCAACTTTAAGTTTTGTGCTGAGAATGAAACTCAGGGCATCTTGCATACTAAGCTTGTGTTCTATCACTGAGCCACATACCCCTGCCCTAGTAACTTTAAATTTTAAGACTATTTTCATCATATCAACTTTTCTGATTTATTTGTGTGTGTGTGTGTGTGTTGGTACTGGGACTTGAACTCAGGGCCTGGGTGCTTTCCCTGAGCTTTCTCACTCAAGACTAGTGTTCTATCACTTGATCCACAGCTCCACTTCTGGCTTTTGGTGTTTAATTAGAGATAAAAGTCTCAGGGACTTTTCTGACTGGGCTGGCTTCAAACTGAGCTCCTTAGATCTCAGCCTTCTGAGTAGCTAGGATTACAAGCATGAGTAAACAGAGCCCAGCTACTTTTCTAAATTTTTAGCTATTTTAATCATTAATATATTTAGTCTTATAGTCTGCATTATAAGAAGTACAACTACCAAACTCCAAGAAATATATAGACACAGTGATGAGTATTTATTTGCTATTATGTCTTCAGTACAATAGCACAAATGACCCTCATGTCTACAGACCCTCATGTCTACAGGGTAGGAAAGTTCTTCTACTCACCACATGGTCATAAACTCCATTCTAAAAACCCAATTTCTAAGTCAGAAGTCAGAGAAATTCACATGATTGAAAATATATCCTTTTTTTTGGGGGGGGGTCCAGTCGTGGGGCCTAAACTCTGGACCTGGACACTGTCCCTCAGCTCTTCAGCTCAAGGCTAGCGCTCTGCCACTTGAGCCACAGCATCACTTCCAGCTTTTTTCTTTTTTGCTTATGTGGTGCTGAGGAATCGAACCCAGAGCCTCATGCATGTAAGGCAAGTGCTCTACCACTGAGCCACCTTCCCAGCCCATGACTGAAAATATTGCTATTAAAATTTCAAAAAGATGCTTGTGGAATTCCAGCATGACAGTCATAAAAGTCTATTACAAATAATGTAAATAATGATAGGCTATGTATGTACCCCTCACCTTTATGTACATGCCTCAACCCAAATACAGATTATATATATATATATATATATATATATATATATATATATAAATTTTTATTTTATTATTTACTTTTTGTTTATATGGTACTGAGGAATCAAACCCAGGGCCTCATGCATGCCAGGCAAACACTCTACCACCAAGTTACATTCCCAGCCCCAGATTACATATTTATTAACATGAATGTAGGTACCAGTGACACAAAAGCAGGACTCAAATTACTTAATATATTCCTGAAGAATAAAAACGTTATTTGGTAAACTAAGGCTATCATACCTACTTGGAAAGATTAAATAGGTTTCCTCAACCTAATTCACATTAAGTCAACCTTTTATTTAGTTTTTTTAAACTTTTTCTCTTTTCTTCCCAGTTTCTTTTTCTTTCTTTTTTTATTTTTTTGGTTTGAATATGAGGTGAGGGTAGGAAAGTGGAGGATGGGTGTCAGGGAGGTGAAATGTGTAGGAGAAAGTGACATGGTCCATGTTCAAATTCACTGAAGAAAAAGAACAGAAGTTGATCTTCTACCCTAGTCTAAATCGGGGATAATGATCTTCAGCTGAAACAACAAAAGCACTCATTGGCTTTCCTCCATTCAAAACAAGCAGTAATCAAAAACTTATACATAAGTGCATGAACAAAAAATTGGGTAAGTGAGGAAAATTTCGCCACTCAGTAAGGAAGTGGATGACATGAACTTGCTATTGGTCCAGTTAACTGTTGAGTTTTACCATTCAACCTATCAACAACCACCAAACAACAACAAAAACTTGTGTCTGGTGTATAAACACTGAAAGCACAGAGAGGGGCAGAAGAGTGAACCACAGAGGCTAATGGCCACATATTTCCTCCATACCTCCTGCCATGAGCATGAATATTAAAATTGTGCAGAGGCCAGGACAATTTTTCCAGCAAACAAAGAAAAAGTCATCCACATAACAAGATGAAAGCAGTAATGTCAGGAAAAGATTCTGCCCACTGAAAAAAGTAATTGTTCACTCTTGTCTATAAACCCTTTTTCCCTTAAACTAGACTCTGTCAATGGAAACAACCAACTTAGAAATGTGAAAGAACAAGATGATGACTCTGTAAAAAGCTTTACAATCTGAGGAAGCATCACCTCTACCTCCTTTACACACACACATACACACACACACACACACACACACACACACACACACACACACACACACACACACACACACACACACACACACACACACACACGGTTAACAACTACCAACCAAGCATGCAGTTTGAATAGCTGAGAGTTTTATAGGCCCAAGGAAGCCACTGAGGACCTAATGATTCAAAATGTCTCTGGAAAGAGAAAATTAAAGAACTGTTTTTTACTTACTGAAACCAAGTTCTCCTCCACAAAAGGAGTAAGCATGTGGGACCGAATGGTAACCATGATATCACTGAAGTCCAGACCAGAAATCATGCCACTTTTGCTTTTGTCTTTTAGTGCAAAAGCTTGCCTTGCATGTTCCAATTGCAGTTCCTGGAAGGAAAAATGAAAAATAAAGTATTAAATTGGTTAAAGCACATCCAAAGTACATGTTCTGGAAATGAAGGAAGCAGACCTCTTTCCCCATGTGTACTTACTATAAAGAGAAATAATATACACCTCGGAAATCACAACAAAGCTTTAAATTTAGGAGGCACATGCTTTCCTAGAAATATACTACACATAACACTCCTAAGAAAAACAAATTAATCAAATCATAGCAATGAAAAAGAACCTTCAAATTTTGTTCAAAAATTTTTGATCACTGAAAATAAGAGTGTAATTTTTTCAATGCTTTGTTTTGGCCTTTAAAACATACGATAATTTATTCTTTCTTGCTTGAAGACTTTGTCATTCAAGAGTACTTCTTGAATTAAGAGTTTTAATTTTAAATTACATAATCAAAGTTGGACTCTCATTTTTAATTAAACATCATTTTTTCAAATATTTTTTAAATGAACTCAGTGTGAAATTCTACCAACTTTGTGACATGTCATAATGCTAAAGGAAAATGATAAATAAAAAACTGCATAAGCAGAGTTTGGTTACTGCTGTAGGGCTCTGGGTACAGTTACGCTTAAACCATAGAAAAACAACTCAGAAAAACTACTGGACAGCCAAAGCTGTAATAAGTGATAGCTGTCAATAAAAATGACAAAATGCTGGACACCAGTGGCTCACGCCTGTAATCCTAGCTACTCAAGAAGCTCAGATTTAAGGATCACAGTTTAAAGCCAGCCAGGGCAGGAATGTCTGTGAGACTCTTATCTCCAATGAACGACTAGAAAACTGGAAGTGGTGCTGTGGCTCAAGTGGTAGAGGGCTCGCCTTGAGCTGAAGAACTGAGGGACAGTGCCCAGGCCCTCAGTTCAAGACCCACTACCAACAACAAAAAAAAGACATGGCTGGGAAGGTGGCTCAGTGGTAGAGTGCCACCCAGTGCCCTGGGTTCGATTCCTCAGCACAACGTAAGCAGAAAAAGCTGGAAGTGGCGCTGTGGCTCAAGTGGTAGAGCACTAGCCTTGATCTAAAGAGTGGAGGGACAACACCCAGGCCCAGAGTTCAGGCCCCACAACTGACAAAAAAAAAGACAAAATGTACCAATAACTCCCAAGATACTATACAAAAGCCAAAAATCAGAGAATTTCTGACCTGGGGTTCCATGGCATGATACAAATATATCTGTTGATACAACATAATAAAGGTGTGACCAGATGCCACTTTCATCTCTAAAAATGATATTTAAACATAGAACTACTATTCACATATTAAATAATATAACTTTTATTGTCACTCATTTATCAAAACCCTCAAAGTAATGTTGCTTTCCCTTTTTCTTTAATTTTGGGGCCTGGGGATGTCTCTAACTGTTAGAATGCTTACATAGCATGTACAAGGCCCTGGAATATACTCCTATTATGATTGATAGATACATAGATAGATATTTTGGTAGATATTTTGATAGATATTTTATAGTCACAAGAGGGATTTGTGACCTCTTAATGATAATTCAGTCAAAATTACTTTAGCAGATGTTTATAATGCATTAAGTTATATGTGAGTGTATATAGTTTTCAATATGCTTTAAAAAAATAATTTTAGGGAAATGAACTAAAGAAAAACATACTAAACCTACTAAATCACTCAAAACTTTTTTCTTGGTCAGTCATTGGGCTTGAACTCCAGGTCTGGGCCCTGTCCCTGAGCTCTTTTGCTCAAGGCTAGTTCTCTATCACTTTGCCACAACTCCACTTATAGTTTTCTGGAGGTTAATTGCAGATAAGAGTCACACAGACTTTCCTCCCAGGCTGGCTTTAAACCATGATCCTCAGATCTCAGCCTCCTGAATAGCTAGGATTACAGGCATCAACCACCAGCACCCAGCTCAATAGTCTTAAGTTTAAAAACCTACATGGAAATACTAAGTTATCTACAAAAATATGTACTTGTATTATCTTGAAAAGAGCAACAGAAATGGAAAAACAAATGTAACTTGTAAATGTATGTGTTAAAGAGGAGTCACTCCATTTAGTTCATTTCTATCATCTCAATTTCAACCTGCATCCTTCAAATGAATGAGAGACATTGTTTGCATCATTAGATTGGCTGAAAGTGGTCCTAAGACAAGGCTATTCCTAAGACAAGCAGCCTCAGAAGCAGAAAAAGGTTGACTCTCTTTCTTACTACATTTTTTCCTCACTCCTTCCTTTTTTTTTTCAAGTCTTTTGTTATTATGTCTTTGTCTTCCCTATGCACATGTCTTAATCTCCCAGAAATAATCAGTGGCAATTACACATAAATTTAACCCCAATGATACCAAAGAAAAGGTAGACTTTTAACAAAGAAGCAGAATGCACATTGAAAAATATTAAGAGATTTTATACTTTCTATAAGGTCAACAGTTGAAAGAGTCTTACCTGTTTTTTTAAAGACACACAGTTGAAGTACTATAAATAAAACCAGTATGGGGGAATTGGCATATGAGAAAAGCCATGAACCAGAGATCCAAACAGACACACAAGAGGGTCAAAACCCAGGCCCTGAGTTCAAGCCGATGACCAAAGCAAGCAAGCAAGTAAGAAAGAGAGAGAGAGAGAAAGAGAGAGAGAGAGAGAGAGAGAGAGGACACTTAAAGAAAACACTTTGCAGTGAATGTTTTTTAATTCTAAAAAAAAAAAGGCAAAAAACAGAAGACAGAGCAAGATGCAGCCTGAAATGTTATCTTCCTATGGTATATTTATGCCACCTGCTTTTCTTCTCTACCAGACTTTTTTCAATTAAATTTTCCTTTCATTAAAAAAAGTCTTTAATATCATGGGACAGGTGAGAGAAAACAGAACGCCTATGAAATAAAAAGACTGCTATTTTTTTAAGGAATGTTCAGAAAACCAAAAGTTCCTTTAAAAACTCAAAATATAACCATTTTTTAAATAAACAGAAGCTACAGAAGGAAAATAAGAAAGCAACTAAAATATTTATATTTACTAGTCCTAGAAAGGTATAAAGCTCAAGAAATATAAAAATGAAAACTTTAAGACCTGAAGTTTCCAAATTATAAGAGCCCACAGATGACAAGAAAATGTCTTAAAAAAAAACAAAAAACCCTCACACTAAGGAATATCATGAAATTTTATACCCAGACAAGAAAAAAAAATCCTAAAACCAACCAGAGTAGAACAAAAGAGTTTCAGTACTGAATCAAGAATGAGAATGGAGGGGCTGGGAATGTGGCTCAGTGGTAGGGTGCCTGCTGAGCATGCATGAAGGCCTGAGTTTGATTCCTCAGTGCCACATAAACTGAAAAGGCCAGAAGTGGCACTGTGGCTCAAGAGCTAGAGCTCTAGCCTTGAGCACAGAGAGACTCAGGGATAGAGCCTAGGCCCTGAGTTCAAGCCCCACGACTGGCAAAAAAAAAAAAGAATGAGAATGGAGGAAGTGGCTGCTCTGGCTCAAAGTGGTAGAGTACTAGCCTTGAGTAAAATGACTGCAAGGACAGCATACAGGGCCCAAGTTCAAGCCCACTACGATCTAAAAAACAAACAAACAAAAAACATGAGTGGCTCATGCCTGTAATCCTATCTGCTCAGGAGGCTGAGATCTGAGGACTGCAGTTCAAAGCCAGCCCAGGCAGAAAAGACTCTTATCTTCAATTAACCACTCAAAAACCAAAAGTGGAGTTGTGGCTTAAAGAGGTAGAGTACTAGCCTTGAACCAAATTGCTCAGGGACAGCACCCAAACCCTGAGTTCAAGCCCCACAGCAACAACAAGAACAACAAAAAGGAATGAGAAGGGAGCCTACCACCATTGGCTCATACCTGTAATCCTATAATCCTACCTATACTGGATGCTGAGATCAATATGGATCATGGTTCAAAGCCAGCCTGAGCAGAAAAGTCCAAAAGCTTCCATCTCCAAAAAAAACAGCAAAAAGCAGGGCTGGAGATGTTGTTTAAGTGGTAGAATGCCCCTTGAATAAACAAGCAAAGTAGGCTCAAAGCCTTACACTGAATTTCTTTTTCTTTTTTTTTTTGGGGGGGGTCTGGTCATGGGGTCTGAACTCTGGGCCTGAGCGCTGTCCCTCAGCTCTTCAGCTCAAGGCTAGCGCTTTACCACTTGAGCCACAGCGCCACTTCCGGCTTTTTTTTTCTTTTTGCTTATGTGGTGCTGAGGAATCGAACCCAGGGCCTCAGGCATGCAAGGCAAGCGCTCTACCACTGAGACACCTTCCCAGCCCACACTGAATTTCTTGATAGCTACACTACAAATTAGAGAAAGGAAAATAATGAAAAAATCCCTACAACAATTTAATGCCCAGTCAGATTATTTAATGATAAAGTAAGAGGTTTACAGATAGAGAAAAGTCTCAATATTTTAAACTGTACCTTCCTTAGAAAGCTAAAACAGGAACTATTCCACCAAAATGAAGTAAATCAAAAGATAAAAATCATGATAAAGAGAAAGATACAATCCAGAAGATAGGAAATTCAATAAAGCAAAAGACAAAGAGGTTCTCCAGGTTGAAGGTAAAAGGAGATCATAAAATAACAGCTGTGCAGGAAGCTTAGAAGGTTCACTTTCTGCCAGGTGCCAGTGATTCATACCTATAATCTTAGCTACTCCGAAGGCTGAGATCTAAGGATTAGGATTCAAAGCCAGCCCCAGAACTGGCACATGCACAAGCACAGGCACACGTACACACAAACATATTTACATATACACACATACAAAGCCCACTTTCTTTTTTTTTTTTTTTGTCGGTTGTGGGGCTTGAATTCTGGACCTGGGCGCTTTCCCTGTGCTCTTCAGCTCAAGGCGAGTGCTCTCCACTTGAGCCACAGTACCATTTCCGGTTTTCTAGTGGTTTATTGGAGATAAGAGTATCAAGGAGTTTCCTACCTGGGCTGGCTTTGAACTGTGATCCTCAGATCTCAGCCTTCTGAGTAGCTAGAATTATAGCTGTGAGCTACCTGCACCCGGCTACAAAGCCCACTTTCTGACCATAAAACAAATCAGGAACTTAGGGTGGCTGACATGGACAATAGTCTAGCGATTCCTTAACCTTAAACAAAGGGGTTGGGGGATGGGTCAATGGTAGTCCACTTGCCTGGTATGCACAAGGCCTTTGGTTCAATATTTAGCATTATTTTTTTAAAAAGAGGGGAGAAGGAAGAGGAGGAAAAGGAGGAAAAAGGAGGAGGAGGGTGGCAGCAACAGGAAAAAAAAAAAAGACAAGAAAAGAACACAGAATTAACCCATGATTCAGAATAAGTGCTCCTAGAAATATGCTCAAAAGGACTGAAAACAGATATTCAAACAAGTACTTGTATATGAACATTTGTAAGGCTCAATTCCTAATAGCCACAAAGTAGAAACAACTCAATAGTTTATCAACTGATAGACAAAAAATATCATATAGTTTTACGATGGAATATTAAGCCAAAAAAGAATAAAGTATTAATATATCTTACAATATGAATAATCCTTAAAAGCTGTTAAGTTTTTTAAAAAGCTAGTATGATAGGTCATATCTTATGATTCATTTACATGAAATATTTAGAATAGGTACAATCTGCTTTTTGTTCCATAGGAAAAAGGAGATTGTTGGCTGTCAGAAGCTGGGAGGGAAGCAAGAATAAGAAGTGATTATTAGGGGCTGAGAAGGTGTTTCAGTGGTAGAGTAGCTTGCTTTATATGCATGAGTCTCTGGGTTCGATTCCTCAGCACCACATAAGCAGAAAAAGCCGGAAGTGGCGCTGTGGCTCAAGTGGTAGAGCACTAGCCTTAAGCTGAAGAGCTGAGGGACAGTGCCCAGGCCCAGAGTTCAGGCCCCACGACTGACCAAAAAAAAAAAAAAAAGAAGTGATTATTAAACTTCCTTTTGGGGTAATGAAATGTTTGGAACAAGATAGTTGGGTTGATTAAAAAATACTATCAATCATCTAGGAGGCACTGAATTATGCTAGGTAAGTGCTCTACTACTGAGTCACATTCCTAGTCCCAAATATATATATTTTTAGAAAGCTCCTGGAGAACTCCAAGAATTTTTTTTTTGTTGTTGTTGTTCATGGGGCTTGAACTCTGGGCCTGGACACTGTCCCTTGGTTCTTCAGCTTAAGGCTAGTGCTCTACCACTTGAGCTACAGCACCACTTCCGGTTTTCTGGTGGTTTATTGGAGATAAGAGTCTCACAGACTTTCCTGCCTGGGCTGGCTTTGAACCATGATCCTCATATCTCAGCTTCCTGAGTTGCTAGGATTACAGGTATGGAGCCACTGGTGCCCAGCCAAGAATTTTTTTTTTTTTTTTGTCAGTCATGGGGCTTGAACTCTGGGCCTTAGTGCTGTCCCTGTGCTCTTCAGCAAACGGTGAACACTCTACCACTTGAGCCACTGCACCATTTCCATTTTTCTAGTGGTTTATGGGAGATAAGAATCTCATAGACTTTGGTGCCTGGACTGGCTTTGAATGGTAATCCTAGATCTCGCCTCCTGAGTAGCTAGGATTACAGGCGTGAGCCACCAACGCCTGGCCCAGCCAAGAATTCTTTATAGAAATCTTAGTAATAAGATATAAGAATGAATTATCATTAATATTATAAAAAGCTAAACAAAGACTGGAAATCTAAGAAAACTAATCATTTTAGTCATGAACTGCACAGTCCTCCCTGCCTCCCCCCTCAAAATCTGAGGATGTTAAAAGTTCCTTATATAAATGGTGCAGGATTTGTATATAATCTACACATATCCTCTCATGTACTTTGACTTTTTTTTTTTAGCAGTTCTGAGGGACTGAACCAAGAGCTTCTTACACATTAAGCAGGTGTTCTACCACCATGCTATACCCTCAGCTCCTCCTGTATCTTTAAATTATCACTGCATATAACCTACAGACATTCTCCTTTATACTTTCAATCATCTCTAGATTAATAAAACCAAATATGATATAAATGCTACATAAATAGTTGTTATGCTATATTGTTTAGGCAATACTGACAAGAAAAGACTATATTTAACAGAACCTATATATATGAAGGGCTGTATAGTAATTATAATTAGAATAATCTTATCATTACTGATCTAAATGGAATCATGACATAATTACATGGGTAGGGGAAGAAAATATCCATTCTATGGCAGGAAAGGAGAGATCACTAACTTCTAATCTACAATTAGAATTTGATCAAAAATAGCCAAAGTGAAAGCTGCGCACCAGTAGCTGACACCTGTAATCCTAGCTTTTCAGTAGGCTGAGATCTGAGGATTGCAGTTCTAAGTCAGTCCACAAAAAAATCCAGAAGTGGCGCCAGGCTCAAGGTGGAGCCTTGAGCAAAAGAAACTAAGCACCCAGGCCTTGACCAGCATACATACAAAAAGTAAAAATAATTTTAATATACCCAAAGTGAAATAGTAAGAGCCCCAAAAGGACTTCACAAAGTAAATGGGGATAAATACTTAAAGAAACAGCTACAAGCATTTAAACAATTTGCTTCCAGTAAGTGGAAAATAAAAAATGGGGACAAAATAAAGACTCCTACTTCTGTACTAAACTTAAAAAATTAAAGGGGAGGTAGAGGAAGAATAGTATGTAATTATGCCACTTATTAAAACTAAGCTTACCTGGAGAAACTGTGTGAATTCTGTGTAGTTAAGATGCTTCTTTCGATTATGGCCAAAATGCAGTCGGATAAATTCACAGTCCCAGTTAAAAGGGATATGATGATGAATAATAGTCTGCCCAAAAATTTCTTTGACATTTTCTTAAAAGGGAAAACAAGAATAAATTAATTATACTTGTAAGTAATTCAACCCACTGCAATGTTCCTACAGAAAAAAAATGAGAGTTTTTAAAATCAATATCATCTGCTTCTATTAAGATTAACTGCGAAAAAATTTTTGTGCCCAGAAACCCATGCACAGGAACACATTGATACAAAATATAATTTTACACTTAAGATTGTGTACCATTACACAGAAGGCCACGAAATTCTTAATTTCTCTTGATTTAATTTTAATTAGAAACTGATTTATAGCTTGAATTATAAATGTCTGCTACTTTACATTCCAGCGTAAAATCAATAGTGTTTTCCTGGTTCCTCAAGGAGTCGAATTAAACCCTTTATCAGAATCATGAATACCTAAATTACAGTATAATGCAATATTTGTCATAGTAAGTATGGTTTGATTGAGGCTTGATTATTACATTCACATTTCCCTGAATATGTCTATTGAAGATAGGTATAAAAAATACTACCAAAAGCATATCATTAGCTCAGCAGCAAGTACCTTATTAAAAGCTTCTGATATTGTCAAAAATATGGTCTTGACACAAAGCTTCAAAATCCCTATAAAATCCATGATTAGTAGTCTGAACTATTATAACATTTTAAGATAAGTGAAATTAGTGAATCATTTTTTACGTAAAAAACCAGACATGGTACACTAACTTTTAAATAGGAACCAGTCACACTATAATATGCAACAAAAACTCTACAGCTTGTCTTCATGCAACTAGCAACATCATTCACTTTCTTAGTTTTACATTTATTAGAAAAGTCAGTTCACAAATGACTGGTACTTTAACAAGCATAGACTGACTACGCTAATTTAGAAGCTCATGCCAAAGGACAAAAAATAACATAAGCAAGGTTAAGAATGCAGGAAGCCTCTTTTACTGATGTCTTAAGAACAGAATTATTTTCAAATTTAAGCCAATTCTATTAGTGAAATAATTTACTATTAATATCTATAAATTGTACTGGAGAATTAGTAAATACAAATTTAATGTTTTATAGTCTCCTATAACTATACAGTCTTTTCTAATTTCTACAGATTCTTTGAATAAGACACTAATCACATATTATAAATAGTTTAATGGATTCCCTCGGTTTTATATACCTTCTTTCCTAATAAAAGCATTGCTACTGGGTTGGGAGAATGTAAGAATTCTGAATTGGGAATCCTACACATCTAGACCCAATATAACAGCTAAGCAGTTTACAGCCATGAGCAAAGTTAAAAGAAGACATTGGATGTCACTGGGGAGATGGGATTCTCATCTTTTTTCTCAAATGGAGCACAGGATTTTTTTCTTACCTAAGTCACAACTATATTTCAGAGTTCTCAAATTAATTCAAGTATTTTCACCTTATATAAACACAAGTTAAATACTCTATGGGTCTTTGTTTCTAAAAGACAAGAACTCAATAGCAATTCATGGGATCCTAATTTCTTTTTCTTTTTCACTTTAATAATTCATTATGTAAAGGAAAGCGTTTCAGTACAATAAAATGAGGCTTCTCTATGCCTCATCTGTGCTGGTATCTGACCAGATTGAAAGCTCAAATAAAACATCATTTTGTCTTTCAGTAAATAATCTTTTAGTCACTGCATGTGATCTTGGTTTCTAATTACTATAAAAGGACAGGCCTTAGAATGAGAGTATGGGAATGTAGCTCAGAGGTAGAATGCTTGCCTATTATGTACAAGGGTCTGGATAACAATAAAAGCTTCCAAAAAAATACTTGGGACTAAAAATATTATGGAAGACCAGTGGAGATGTTTTAGGATCTAATTTAATTAGTTAGATGCTTCTATTCTTAAATGAACTAAATTGCTTACTTTTTAATCAAAACAAGTGTTCAACTAAAAGTTAAAAAATGGGAAACAAAGCCAGGCACCCATAGCTCATGCCTGTAATCTTAGCCACTCAGGAGGCTGAGATCTGAGGATCACAGTTCAAAGCCAGCCACGAACATCCATGAGACTCTTATCTCCAATAAACTACCAGAAAACTCAAAGTGGCACTGTGTCTCAAGAGGTCAAGCTCCACGACCAAAAAAATGAAACAAAATAGTTAACAAATTAGTTAAGTAATTAATTAAAAATCAAGCATAAGCCAGGCACTGGTGGCTCACGCTTGTAATCCTCGCTATTCAGGAAGATGAGATCCGAGGATCATAGTTCAAATCCAGCCCAGGCAGCAAAGTCCAGAGACTCTTATCTCCAATCAACCACCAGAAAACTGGAAGTGGCACTTTGGCTCAAGTGGTAGAGTACTCACCTTGAGCTGAACTCTGGACACCCAGGCCCAGAGTTCAAGCCCCACAACCAACAAAAAAAATAAATAAATCAAACATAGTACACATATTAGATAGAAACCACTTATGGTGTGTAATATATAAGCAAAACTATACCATATTTTGAGGGATTAGCAATATCATGTACTTCTTACATCATTTTATACTTTTAGGTGTAAACATTACATCTAAAAAATTAGAATTAAAATGTATTGTTTAAAATATGTAACTAAATAGTAACTAAATAGCTCATGCTGGAGCTACTCTTGAGCTACTCAGGAGGCTGAGATCTGAGGATTACAGTTCAAAGCCAGGCAGTGCAGGAAAGTCAATAAGACTATTATCTTCAATTAAGCACAATCAAGCTTTGACTCAAGTGGTAGAGCACTAGCCTTGAGGAAAAAACTTGGAGACAGGGCTGAGGCCATAACTTCAAGGCCCAGGACTGGCATAAAAAAATTATTATTAAAGTAAGCTATTTAATAGTACTCTTATGTGTTTGTTTACGGTACTAGGGTTAGAACTCAGGGCATTAAGCTTGCTAGGCAAGTGAGCCACATACACCCAGTTTACTACTTGAACTATGCCCCAAGTTCTTTTGCTTTTAGTTTATTTTTCAACTATGATCTCAAAACTTTTACCTAGGGCTTCAGACGCAATTCTCCTACCTCCACCTCTAAGTAACTAAGACTTACAGATATGCACTACCACATCCAGCTTATTTCTCAGATAGGGTCTTGTGCTAACGTTTGCTTGGGCTGGTCCTGAACTACCCATCTTCCTTTCTCTACCTCCGAAATAGCTGGCATTACAGGCATGTATCACCACACCTAGCCATGAGGCTTTATTTTAAAGGCTGTAACTCAAACTCAATCATTTGAAGAAATGTTCATATTGTTATACAGTGAGTTTGAGGTTAGCCTGGTTAGCTTAGCAAGATCCTATCAAAAAATGTAAACAAAGGAGAGAAAGAAAAAGAGAAAAAAAGGAAAAAATACATATTGCTATGTAATGCGAATAAACATGAACCCCTTTTAAACGATCAAAAAATATCAGAAAATTAAATGTGACTGCAGGTATGATGTGATAGGTATAAACCAACAGTGAGAACGGTGAATGAGAGCATGGGATGCCTTAATTCAAGCCCCAGTACCACAACAAAAAAATTAAAATTAAAATTAAAATAAATGTGAAAGTAAGTGAAAGACTCAAAAGCCTTTAAATTTAAAATTTTTAATAATCTATATTTTTCTGTTATTGTGATATATTTGTTATTGTGTATTCATAAACTAAATTTATAATATATTACTTATACCTAGAGAAATATCTCTAATAAAACCTTCGGGGGGGGGGTTTCCTATAGGAGGAGGACCAAACCCAGGTCCTCACATATATTAGACAAGCACTCTCCCACTAAGTCACACTTCTCTTCTAAACTTTCTAGCATTCTCTAGTAAGATCTCAGAATGTCTTTGAGGTCAATAAAATAATAGCCTAAACAACTCATAGCAATCTCTCCCAATACAGAAGGGGCATTTCCTGTGAGCATCTGTTTGGACATTTACTACTTCTCCTAAAGTGGTCTCTAGACAGCTTTGAATATGGTTTTATTATGACTATTATTATACACTCATTTATTAACTACTCACCAGTTATTTTTTATTATTTTAGTAGTGTCACAGGCTACAACTAAAGTTATTAGAATTAATACAATTTTAAACCTACTCTGGACCCTCTTGAAATATATTCTACTTTTCTGTTACTGTTTCTACACCAAATGCCTCAGGCTTGTTCAGGAATATCCCAAAAATCACAGCCATAACTACTGTGCTAGTTCATAATCACTTTTTAAAACTAGAATATGCTTATATTAATAGATATATAGTATATAGATCTATATGTGTGTGTGTGTGTGTGTGTGTGTATATATATATATGAATGGGGCATGGCCAAATAGTGGAGCATCTGCCTAGCAAGTGAGAAGCCCTGAGTTCAAACTCCAGTAATGCCGAGGTGGGGGAAAGAGTGAATGCTCTAGAACTGGATAGTTTATAATTGTTGATGTTCTGATCTTGCTTGGTTTCATCAAATACTGCGTGACATGAAAGGGAATACCAATCATCTAACAGAAACTGCATAGCAAGTTTCCCACCCAGAGAGAATCCCATCTTTCCAGTGGCAAACAAGGATCTTTAGCTCTAAATAGCACTCCTTAACAGTGCTATTTCAGGGGGCCAGAGTTCTAGCCTGGATGAAAGGGATATGACAGTCACATCTTACTGGTGGCAAAAATCATGATCTAGTATTTTATAGTAGGTTGGCATTGCTAAAAGGAACAGGAATCCATTCGTTTTCTGACATATAGAAAACAATAGACCACTTTCTCACTTCCTGCAGAGCATGGGTTTATGAAAGGGATGGTTTATAATTCCACAGGAAAGGGAATTGAGGCCAGACACAAAAGTAGCCTGTCATTATGTTCTCTTTGCTCAAAGGAGAGGAGCACAATGATTTGTCAGGAAGGCAGGTAATGGTGACAACTGTGATTAAGTGAAAATGTTCACAGACGTTTAACATTAGTCAGTTTAGCTGTATCAGTCACTTATAAATGATTGAACTAAATGAAATACACATTGCAGAATATATATTACATAAGTTGTCTTAACAGAGGTTTCCATTTCCCCAGCTGCCCACGCTGTGTCTTCCCATCTCATCCACCCTTATCCCTCCCCTGGTTATTAAGGGAGCTTCCTACTGGTCTTGTTATCCTTCTGCAGTACAAAATTACCTCTGACCGGGGCTGGCACTCTTCTCCAAGCCTGCCACCATGCCTGTTCCATGAATGAGCCTGGAAGGAGCTGCTGTACCAACGGTGTGGCCAGAGAACTCCTCCTGTAGGTATACAAGCCATCAGCCCTGTGTCACAGCCCACCTACCATCAGCCCAGCTTGACATCGAGTCCAAGGATTCCAGCCCAGCAGGAGCCACTGCTTCCAACTTACAGGCTTGAGAACCAATGTTCTTATTGTCAGGGAGGGGAGGGGAATTCCTCAATAGCTGAGTCTGACGTGCACAGTTAAAGTCAAATTAGAGAAGCTCTCAGGACACCCACCCTGAGCAGTGACTATCCTTATGTATAACAAACACAATGGTGAGACTTGTGAAGGTGCTTTTCAGTGAAGGAAAAATTGAGGGGAAAGAGTAGGAACAACTGGGAGGTCAAAAAAAAAAAAAGAAAAGAAAAACAACAACAAAAAGACCAACAGCAAAACTTGTGAAGTCTCAACCAACATAGCACATATATAGACTCAGTCCCAGCTTCTGAGTTCTGCTCCCAGGTAGGTCATTAGAAACCTGGGTGAATACCCTCCCTATTTCTCTGGAAGAAAGTATTTCTGGTAGCCCTTTACCTACCTCCAGAGGGGATTACTGTATGATCAGTCAATAGAGTGGTCCTGTGGCCAACTATATGTAAAGAGTTCATTTCTCAGAAAAGAGAAGTTCACATTCAAAGAGCATCTTTTAGTATAGAAGCTTCAACAGTCTACCATCAAACAGCAGAGAAACTAGCATTGTGCCTGTTTTTCCTTTAACCTCAAACTGCAAGCTACTCGAATAGCCTAGAATATTTAAAAAGTAGTCCTCTGTGTGATGTCTGAAAGCAATACAAAAAAAAATCATGATTTAATTGAATACTTGGTTGAAACGCTATGCTAAATTATCTTAGTTACTTATCACCAATAGAATTTCATATTATTCCATGTCTATAAACTCGGTATTTACTACCATTATAATTTCATATTATTTCATTTAAAGCTTTGTTTCTAGTGAGAAAGAACTTATTTTTCATATCTATACTACCATCTCCTAACCCTTTAAATAATAGTAGTGGTTATACCCAAACAACTTCAATCTATTCTTCCATTTAGTGGTGAAAAACTATTTTAGAGGCATAAATGGAACACATTTTTATTTGCTATATTGGCTGACAGCCACCATATACTAAATCAAAAGTTATTTCTTCTTTGGAGAGGATCTACAGTCAGGAGTAAGGATGTATATTTGAAAAAAATTGAACTTCCATTTCTATGTAAACACTGGTACAGAATGCTGATGAGTTTTTAATAGGGAATTCAGAACATATGTTTCACAATCATCTACTTAAAAAAAAGATTACTTCTTTGACAAAGCAATACACTTTTTTTGGTTAATTTGGGATAAATAGATGGCAACTTTTGACAATACAATGTAGGATTACTACTTAATTAGGTCACCTCAGTCTAATTCTACCAAGCAGAATGTTCAGTACATCGTAGAGAATAGTGAGATCCAGGCAAATTTACACACCAATCATGCAATGGCCTCTACAAGGCTCATGCCACCTAGCAGTAACATATATACAAGCCATTAAATATTTATCCACAGCATGCATTAGGAATTGTATTAAAAGAACACTGAAGCTGGAATAATTAACTGATGGTTTAATTATTAAAGAAAAGAAAACCTCCAGAATGCTTTCCTGAACTTTTACAATATGAAATGGTTAATCAAGGTCTCAATATAAGTTCTGCCTCTCAAGATGGAGGCGTCTTTAACAATGAGAACAAAAGAAAAACAACTTAGTCCAGCACTTAAGTAAATGTTGTTCAATACTGCTATATATAATCATTGCAAAGATGATACAATTTAAACATATAATTTGATGTGCATAAAGGCATATCTAAGAAAAAAAGCATAGATGAGAGCAATACACTCAAGTATACAGATAACATTATCTTTACGGTCTTCTAGAGACAGTAATGACATAATGGTTTTTCCTCTCTCCATTGCATCTTGTATCCAATATTCTCTCCTAACTTTCTTTGTGTGCACGAGAGATATGGACAACTTAAATTACTTCAAACTAGAAAATATAGGTCATCTGATAAAAAGGATTTAAGTCTAGTTAGAATGAACTCAAAATTTTCTTCAATCTAAACATGTGTATAAATACATAGCATAATTCATTTTATTAAATGGGTACAAACATAAAAACTGACCTTCATCATAGATCCAAAAAGCCTATAAAAAATAAAGTCCAAGTGAATTATTTCCTCATGCAGAGATTCTGTAGTCTTGAATACAACCTGAAATAAGTGGGTCTCAGAAATTTTATTAAATGGCATTTGTTATAAGTAACCATTTCAATGCTTTTCTTGTTTTCCTCCTTTTTTATGATTCTTTTCAGTTTAAGTGGAACAAAATGGGGTTGGGAATGTAGCTCAGTGGTAGAATGATAATCAAGCATGTATGAGGACTCGGGTTCAAACCACACACATAAGGAAAGTCTACAAATTGATCCTCAAAACTAAGGATCCAGTCTAGGCTAGATAATAAGACTGCCTGAACTAAACAAAAACAAAACTAGGACCAAAAAGGAAAATGTTCAAAGTCCTTAACAAAATCCTTAATTAAGACAAAGTGGGCATGCTAGAAATCTCAGCACTTGATAGGCTAAAGTAGGAGAATCATGAATTCAAGGCCAGCATGGGCTGCATAAAGACATCCAGTCTTTAAAAAGAGGGCTTGAGAGGACTTTTCCCCCTGGGACTGGGAAATCAAATCTAATCTATTCATTCTTCCTTTTTTCATGGCTTTCCATTCACATTCAAATTAATTTATTAAATGAGAAAGAAAAAGAGAGAGAGAGAAACAGAGAGAGACAGAGAGAGAGAGAGAGAGAGAGAGAGAGAGAGATCCAGCCAGACAAGGACTCTGGGAAGTTTCCCCTATTCCATAATAATCTTGTCACTAGATTCTGGAAAGCAAGATTCTGGAAAGTTCATCTGTTCTTCAGTGTATACCAGATGCTATAAAAACTAAAATTTATTTTTTAACCTAATTATAGTTCTTGAATTCCTAATTTTTAAGTTGTAATGTAAGAGAAAAAGTAGCTATAAAATCATGAGAGATCAATTAACTACACACTATTATTCCTATGAAGTAAGGTATATATAAAGCAGCTTCTTACTACATTCATTTTGATCTTCTTAACAACATCATGCATCTCTGTTACTAGTCTATTGGATGAAGTATCTTAAGCAACTTGTTGGGAAAAGCAATCAAATGGAGGAAACATGATACCAAGGCAGGGGACTAAGTATATTAAAATTTGATTTTGAGAAATTAAATTCATATTGCAATAAACACAAGTATACCGTCTCTAACTCAGACATTTGTATCAAACTATTTCCCAAGTAGTCTGTACCATATTTGGAGGACATGTATGTGTAATACTTACTGAAAATAAAAAGTACAGCACTAACAGCAGTACAGAATTGATGTTAAATGATGAGATGACATCAATTTTGTTCTTTATACCACAGAATGCAGGTAGTTAAGAGGAAAGTCAACATTCTTCAGGAGGCAAAATGGTCAGAGCTAGCTCCCAAACAGGGGGATTGCCAAGATATATGCAGAAATATAAAGAGTGCTACATAGTATTTATTTTGGAAAATGTTCTCACACAAAGGACTGTATTGGATCAACGAGCATAGGAAGGTAATCGGTGCCAAGCTAGAAAATATGCCCACCAAAGTTATAGCCAAGGCGCCACTGGTACTTTTGATTGATTTGGATTATCTCACCATGTTTACCAGTACTGTGATACTTCTTCCTTCAGGTTTAAGGACATCTATGTACTTTATAAAACAAACATCACAACAAATTTACATTTAGTGCTATAGCACTAATGTACTTGGGAAAAGCCTTATTTTAGAGCTTCAACATGGGTCAGCAGTAGAGTTTCCTGCCTAGCAAGTAAAAGACCCTGAGTTCAAACTCAAGAACCACCAAAAATGAAAGGGGGAAAGGGGGAGAGAGAGGGAAGCCCAATTTTCATTTTTTTAAAACATATATTTGTGCTAATTCACACCATAACAAGAGTTCAGGTTCAGTTTTGCAAGATGAAAAAAGTTATGTAGGTATATTTTACAGCAGTAAAATATAACCATTCTGAACTATATACTTAAAATGGCTAAGTATAAATTTTATATTTTTCCAGTATTAGAAGAAAAAATAGTACAAAAGGGACTCAAAATCTTTGAAAGCATTATATTGTTTCCATTGAAATTATTCCTTTTGTAAGAATAAATAGCCAATACTTTTTCTGAAAATAAACTAATTTCTGCAAATAATAGAGGGTGCCATTGGCTCATGCCTATAATCCTACCCAAGATTTCTGAGCTGACATCTGAGGAGGACAATTAAAAGCCAGCTCCATTAGGAAAGTCTGTGAAATTTTAATCTCCACATACCAAAAAGCCAGAAGTGAAGCTGTCATTTCAGTGGTAGAGTACTGGCCTTGTGCACAAAAGTTCAGGGACAGGCCCAGGCCCTGAGTTCAAGGCTTAGAACTCTCCTAAAACAAAATGAAACAAAAAAAAAAAACCTAACATAGAGTTACAAATAAAAGTCCTAACTTGTATAGTTATGAGACATCACTATTAGATGATGTGCCCACCAAAGGATTTAAATCAATTTCTATACACAATTTGGATGGTGATTTTAATAGTCTAGCCTTATTTTGTATAAAGTCAAAAATTTTAAATGGAGGATGAGAAATTAAGAGAACACTAATCAATTTTGTCTTAATTCTCCTTTAAGCCTACTGTTGACATAAAGCAATTTTCCAAAGATGCTGCAGAGAGTCTCTGAACTCCCTACCCCAAAATTCTTTAAACAATGACAAGACTGTTGCATGCTGTTTTACAGTCTACTTTCTGAAGAATTTTGCTTAGGCTGGCCCAGAACAAGATAATTTTGAACCATATATTTCAGGAATGTCAAAGTATCAGTGACTTACTGAGCTAAAGTAACAGCATTCTAGATTCCTTAATCTTTTGCAAAAGCCTAACAATTTGAAGAAAATAAAATCACTTGTGTCTCTGTAAATTGTTTTAGGAAATAAATGCTTTGCTTATTGATTAGGTCATAAATACTCAGTTGTCTATATTCGGTTGTTAGACTTAACAATCAGAGTCTGCATAGGCATCATTAACTTTATTTAGCACTTTTAACCTTTTCTTTCCCTTACCAAATGTCACTTCTCCATTTCCACTCTTGTCAAACAACTGGAAAGCCACTATGAACATGGAATCTGGAGCACACAAAACAGATTCAAAGGCCAAGAACTCTTGATAGGAGATCAACCTAGAACAAAATGTAAACTATTAC